TATATATTGCTTGGTGATTTTCACAGGCAGCCACATAGTCGCTGTGCAGTGGTGGGTTCCGGTTGGAACCGCCCCGGCGTTACCTACATGGACACACACAGCGCGCACATGCGTCGTACTTGCCTGCAATGCTTCCGCAATCCTCCACGACGCTCCAGCTGCTCAGCCGTATGTGCCCTGTGCGGAAGCGCCAGAGGCTTAAAGCACAGGTAAGGAGCTCGGGCAGAGTGGGCCCTCCAGAGCACCATACCGGAACGGTATCTGGTGCTCCGGGCAGGCTCTGGTACACCGTACTGGGGCGTATCACTTTCAACCCACCACTGTTGCTGTGGCAAACTGGATTCTGAATATCAAAAAGTGTTGGTCTAATAGAACAGTGATTCTCCTATGCTTTTCTTAATGCTAAAATTATTGTTTCCTTACCTGTTTTGTAGAGCTATATATCACTTTGTGAGGAGATGGAATGACTGCATCATTCTGAAGTACAACCACACTTTGAGAGGAGTTGAATTGGGCCCCTAAGACTTTTACTTCACCAAACTTTAAGTTATTTGGGTCAAAATATCCTTGATGGGCAATCCTGATATCCAAGACATTCTGAAAAGACATTTTCCCAATATATTTATTTGTAAAATTATTTCATAATTTGCCATCATCTATATTTGATTCTACCGTGTAATCTATTATTGGGACAATAGGATGAGAATGGAAACAGCAGCAATAGGAATATTGGCAAAACATTGTGACACTCATGGTTTAACAGTGCTGGCTTCAGATAATCTGTAAATAAAAGCTCAATGTCTTGAGTCATTGACCAAAATTTACAGATTATTACTGATCATTGTAAACCTAAATGTAGCTTTGTCTACTTATTATTGTACTTGGCTTAACATGCCCCACTTTCACAATGGGCAACCATGTTATTCTGCATCTCTTCTTGTTGCCCTTGAAAAAGCATCTTTGGGACAACCATGACACGGATGTCTGTGAATTTTCCTATGTAAAATTCACATGTAGATAAAGTAGGGGAAATGTCCTAATTCATACCAATTAGTTGGTATAGGATAGAGTTTTTTCCCTTCTTCTTTCATTTTGCTGCTATTATCAAACAATACTGAAATGTTTTGATATGGAATACAAAATATTTAATAATCAAAATACTTATAATATATACAAATAAAATATGTAATTTTCCTTAATGTAGCTATTATATAGTTAGTGGCTTGTTTCTTATTATGGGTAGGGTTTTTTATTCTTTCATGGTTTCTATTACCATATTTTTTGGAGTATAAGATGCACCGGAGTATAAGATACACCAAGGGTTTGAAGAGCCAAATTTTAAAAAAATTAGGTAGGTAGATAGAGAGAGGGAGGGAGGGAGAGAGAGAGAGAGAGAGAAAGAGAGAGAGAAATACAGTAGGTAGGTAGGGAGAGGAGAGTAGTTAGGTAGATAAAGGGATAGAAAGAGACAGAGAGAGAGAGAGTAGGTTGGTAGGTAGGTAGAGGGATTTAGAGAGAGAAATAGAGAGAGACAGAAATACAGTAGATAGGTAGGGGGAGAGAGAGAGTAAGTTGGTAGGTAGATGTTTCCAGGTGTATTTATCCATGTGCCGGAGAAGGAAATCACTGACAATCGGCAGCACCTAAGACTTTGTTTCTACTGGCATAGCACATTATCAATCTAATTCTCATCAGTCAGTTAAAGAGCTTTCTGAAAGGAAGAAAAAAAGTTTTGCACTCTGCAAACCTCCCCAAAACAGTGAAAATGGGCCTTTTTTTTTTTTTAAAAAAAGGCATGAATAGCCTTCGGGGGGGGTTGCAGAGTGCTCCTGGGGGGTTGAGGGAAATGAGCAAAAACTGGCCCATTTTTCACGAAAACAGGCTCATTTTTTGTCAAAAAATTGCTTGCAGAGACTTATGGAGGGTTATAGAGTGCTCCTGGGGGCTGGGAGGGCAAAATTGAGCAAAAACGGCTAGTTTCTTTGCTCTTTTCTGCCCTTCCCAGCCCCCAGGAGTTCTCTGAAAGCTTCCATAAGGCTATCCACGGTCATTTTGGTGAAGGGACAGAGTTTCAGGAGGCAAAAAATGCTGTGTTCAGTGTATAAGATGCACCCAGATTTTCAACCTAGCTTATGAAGGCCATATCACCAAAAGAATTGGCACTGTGATTACACATTATTGTGTACATAATAATTGCAGTAGGTGGATAAAAATGCCCGAATATAAATATAAAATATAAATGTAATAAATAAGTGAATAAAAATACCAAATCCAATCTAAATAATAATCATCATGCATCACTTTTTAGTTTACTGCCATTGTAACCATGAACAGTCACTAAATGAATGGTTGAAATTTGAGGATATTTATTATCCAAACTCACATCATTTTGAACCTTGATTGAACCTGTAAGTAAACACAGCCCATTCTCAAATATATCTCCCACACCCAATCTTCAAGAGGACATAAGATAATTTTGCAGGTACACCACATTGCAGAACTATGCCATGAGTCTAAATTTAACTTGAAAGCCTCAAACGGATCTTCCAGTTATATCAGATTGGAAAATCTAAATTTAGCCTGAAAGCTCTACAGTAGCAAAATGAAGCCTTCTTCAACTGTAGTTTGAAAGAAAAGAACCCATTAGATGCATATGCTTTGAAACAGGAAAGGGACAAAATAGTGATTAGGAAGGCTTTAAACACTGGAAAGTTGATAAAGAGACATTTGGAGTAATTCAAATTTTTGTAATATTTCAAGACTTCTTTGGAGAACACCGGAAAGCAAAGATCTTTCTCACTATTACGAGAAGAAGCAGTCATTCACTTATCTCTGAATTATAATAGACATGATTGAAAAGTATTCCTTTCTAAATTTAATGTTCTGTGTCAACAAATGGATTGAATTAAATGGAAAAAAATAGCATTCTCAGAAAACATCTTGAAATAAGAATTTCATTATTCTGTCTACCCTAATAGCACTACCCCAAGGGTATATATATATAATGACATAATTATATTTACCATCCAAAACAAACAAAAAATTATTTTGCCATGCGAATAGCTATTACACAAATTTGAAACCGATTGATTTTTATGGAATACAAGTCCTGCAGGTTAAAAAAGAGGATTCCAGAAAGCAGGTAAGATTTGAATCAGCAAGTATTTTCCATTTGTTTAAGAGAATTGGTTTGCTTAAGAGAATTTATATGGCTACCCACTCACTCTCAATGACTCTGGGTGGCTTACAAAAATAAAAACTCAATGCACAAAAAGTAAAAAAAAAACAATAATCTCCTAACCCTCCCCCCTCCCTGGTGACAAGGAATAAATTCATATTTAAAGGTACTCAGTTAATTGCTTGTTTCACTTCTAGTTTTCTTATTCAACTAACTCTGGTTACACAGATGCTACTATTTGGTATATTACACCTGCATTTTGTTAAACACTTATGAGTCCCTTCCTGAAGTTCATTCCCTCTAATGGTGGGACAGGAAGAATGGGGTTTACAAATGATTTGTATGGCTATGGAATGAGATCTAAAAAGGACTACATTTTGTAGGGCTTGAAGATCTATGAGAATGAGACAGCAGCAAGGATGAAAGTAATCTGAGAGAAAAAAATTGCAACATTCTCTCTCCCTGTCTCCCACCCTCAATTTATCCCTTCCTCTCCCTCTCTCTCTGTTTCTGTCCCCCTCCTTCCCTCCCCTCCCTTTTTTATCCTGCCTTCCCTCTCCCTTTCTCTCTCTCCCACTCCCTTCCTCTCTCTCCCTCTCTCTTTCCCTCTCCCCCCCTCTCTCCCTCCCTCCCCCCTCTCTCCAAACACATTTTGCTTCATCTTCCCCTCTTTCTGTCTTTTGGTCTCTGTATCATACACAGACATGTACAAATGTTATTGGCAAGTAATTGATTCAAAAAGCCATTTTGGTGACATTTGTTTGCATCTGGAGGGCTGACATAGAAGCATAATTGATTTTGTTGTACAGGTAATCCTTGATCTCAAACTGAACTCAAAATTTCTGTTGCTAACTAAGCATTTGATGAGTGATTTTTGCCCCATTTTACAACCTTTGTTGACACAGTTGTTAAGCGAATAACTGCAATTGTTAAGTTAGTAATATGGTTAAGTGAATCTGCCTCCCTCGTTGACTTTGCTTGTTAGAAAGTCTCAAAAGGTGATTGCATGACCTCAAGACACTGCAAACATCATAATTATGAATCAGTTGCCAAGCATCCAAGTTTGATTACGTGACCATGAGGAAACTGTAATGGTTGTAAGCGTGAAAAACAGTCATAAGCCACTTTTTTTTCTGTGCCATTGTACCTTCAAATGGTCACTAAAGGAACTGCTGTAAGTTGAGGACTACCTGCATTGGTTCATTCAATCAGGAAATAATGCTTAGAAAATGTACATACCTGACTGACATTAAATGTGTGTAAGAGGTAAAGTCCTTTCTCATATGCATCTGTAATAAAAGAATTGTAATATATGATTATTGTATTATCCATTTTTTTCTGACATGCTGTTTCCCACCATTTCATTCATTTATTCATTCAATATTTCAACTGCTCAGTAGCCACACTGTTTGAGGAGTTTACAACAAAACACATTAAAAAATAAAATATACAATAAAAATATAAAATTAAATTAAATATTAAAAAAATTAAAATAAAAAATGCATTCCTTAACCTTGAGATAGTTTCATTGCCACCTGACAAAGCATTACAAGCACAAGATAAGATGAATCTGTCTTTTAGAAAAAATGCATGTATATCAGATAATATCCAATGGCAGTCCTAGTATTAGTTGTGTCTAATTAATTGGCTTCTAACACAGTCAAGTAGAGGCAGTTTTTGAAGGTGCTAAATCAGGGGTGTCAAACTCAAAGCCCGGACACTGGATCCCGAGCGCCATTTTAAGTGACAGAGAGCTAACAAAACAAACTAAAAACAAAACTAAGGGGCAAATGTTTCCTCTTTTGCATTTGAGCATGCAAGAAAGGACAGGAAAGGAGAAAGGGAAAGAGAAAGAAAAAGAAGGGAAGATGAGAAGAGAGCAAGGAAGGAAAAATAAGGAAAGAAGGGAAAGAAGAAAAAAGGGAAAGGAATAGAAAAGGAAAAAGAAGGGAAGGAAGAAAGGAATAGAATAGAATAATTTATTGTCACTTTAAATGTACCTTAATCAGCATACATTAAAATGAAATTTTGTTGCATTTTCAAAATATAACCTTCATGCATATACCCACATACGCACATATATATGACACAGAGAAACAACACAGTCTAGTTTGAATGCATACATATATGGGGAGGGGGATCTTGCAAGTCTACCAGAAGGATGGCACAAAGAATGAAGCTGTTACATAATCTAGTAGTCCTGCTTTAGATACTTTGAAACCTCCTCCCAAAGAGAAGCAACAGAATCAGACCATTAAGTGGGTATGTGGGGTTACTAACAATGCTTCGAGTTCTAAGCACATATCGTTTATAAGTAATATCCTGAAAAATGGGAAATGAGCTTCCTATAACTTTCTCAGTTGTTCTTATCACTCTCTGTATGGACTTTCCATCTGAGGCACTGCTGCCACCAAACCAAACAGTGATGCAGTTTGTTAAAATGCTCTCAATTGTGCCTCTGTAAAAAGTGGTCAGAACAGAAGGAGAAAGATGTGCTCTCCTCATCCGATGCAAGAAATGCAAACGCTGGTTTGCACACCACAAAATATAACATATGAAGAGACCAAGTCAGATAGTTAGTTATCTGCAGATTGCTAGTTATCTGCATTAAGTATCCAGATACTTAATACTATTGACCATCTGCACAATGGCAGCCTTCATACAAAGTGGAATGTTGCTGGCTCTTTTTAAAATCAACAACTATCTCTTTGTTAACATTCAATCTATTCTTTACAAAGTCCAATGAGATGAGACCACCAACAATGCCTGAAACAATGTTAAAATGGATATAGAAAACAGATTTACTAAGAAACCCGGGAACTCAGTAAGAAAATCCATGGGAAATGTTATGTGCAGTGTTATCCAGGTATCTAAATGCACATGTAGGCAGAATAATTTCCTAACAACAAACAAGTAACCAAATAAATAGTGAGCAAAAGCATGAATTTGTAATGGAAATACTTGTACATGTTTATGTTAGTATAGTTAGGCAACAGAATTCATTACTAAAATTGGAGGAAAATTAAATTTTTGTTGGAACAATTTCCATGTATTTGCTTTCCATGTATTTGCTGCTACAAGAAAGCTAAAAGAAAAAGATAAACCTGCAACAGATTAATACAACTGTTTGTTTAACGGCCAAAAATTTAGGCCCTACATTCTGGAATTGTCTTCTAGAGTTCTTGAAAGCCATGCAAAAATGATGCTTTAAATCACAAAATATTTACTTGTCCTAGGATTAATGACTTATTTTTTTTCAAGTTATGTACTTTTTTCAATAATGTGCATTATACAGTTAAACACCCTAACAGTGTTATAATTCAATATTATCTTCAATGTGTCTTTTCATTCTATGGGGAGTGATATATATTGGAAGCCAATTAAATTTATTGATTACTCTATCAAGGTTATACTTACCAATTGTTGTTCCATCATCCCAATAAAGAAGTCCTTGAGCAGCCCCATTGTCATCCAAAGCAACTGTAAGTCCCATTGAATTTTTTCGACTAAAAATAAAAAAGAAAAGAAGAGAAAGGGCATTAAAATAAAAAAGAAAGATGATTTAGTTCCATCATTGTTCTAACTTGAGCTAGAGTATGCTGGTTTCATAAGAATCTGTTGTCTAGTCACACAGAGAAGAGATAATTATCTATCTATCTATCTATCTATCTATCTATCTATCTATCTATCTATCTATCTATCTATCTATCTATCTATCNAACTGCCGACCTTTCTGATTGACAAACTCAGCGACTTAGCCGCTGAGCCAACATGTTCCTATAAAAGTCAATGTACATTATTTCAAATCAGAACAGAACTGGGTAAAAATGGGGGAACTTTATTTTTTATTTCTTAACATTTTGGGGTGTAGTGAGGTGGGGTGGAGTGTGCTGGGGTGGGATAGAGTGGGATGGGATGGGTTGGGAAGGACGTATTGAGTTCTTAGGTGGTTGATTTCAACTTTGCCCAGTCTCCGGCTTGGACAACACTGAAGGGCATTTCAGATCGTACTATTATTAATGTGCCAAATAAGTTTCTCAAAGAAAGAAAACCTTTTTTTTTGTTTCAGAAAGTTTTAATTCAAATCAAATATTAAATATTGCTGATAACCGTATTACTTTTAATAATCAAAATCAATAACCTTATGATTAATTGTTTACACTATTCTAGAACTCTTGTCTGTGTTTACTTAGACATTCCCTCCCCTTGTTCCTTTATTCCATGTGGCAGAAATGCACTAATAGACTTTACCAATCATTCTTCCAAAGATCATATTTATATTCTTCTCATTATAGCTTTGGTACAAAGTGTCCCCTTTAAATGTATGTGTGCATACATAATGCCAATTCATATTATAGCCTTACTTCTATTTGCTAATGATTTATGAATGCTTATTTTTATTTATAGAATGCCTGAACTTTTCTTCTGGCAATGCAGGAATAACGCCACAAAAATCACTTTCTCTATGTATTTATTCATTAAATAATTCTTAAATACTCCTAGTTATTGCGGCATTCAAAGTGGTCTCTGAATATCTTATAATATTAAAATTAGTAACATCAACATTCAGTCAATCCACCAGAACACAGCATTAATAGAAAACTATATAGAAGTAATTTCCAAAAGCAAATTAAATAGTTTTACCTTTAATTGCAATTGAAAAATATAAACCAATTTGATTTTAAAGACACAATTAAAGGAAATATTCCAACTTCTCCCTTCAAAATCAGCTAAACCAAATTATATTTAAATTCAGCACTATCACCCACAAAAAGTAAAATGGTTGGAATCACTTAATTGATAAGCCAAGAAAAAAAAATGTATGGCATAAAACAGTATCTTAAAGACAAGCCAAATGCATTTTTCAGAAGTGATTCTCAGCTTATCAGGATTTTCTTCCAGATAGGTGTGTGAAGAATTGCATTTTAATTATGTGGAACTAAGTTCCATTGAATTCAAATATGCATGGAGGCATCCACAGCTGTCTACTGACATAAGGAACAATTCCCTTAATCCTTTTATCAGTTCCCTAATGTTTACCTCCCATATGCAGCCATACATTTTAAAAGTGGTTTGTTTTTTGGATCCAAAATGAAATATTTGACCAAAAAAATTAACTGAGTGGTTCTTTACCAGCTGAGCAAATGATGGGATAACAGATCTCTTCAGGAATAAGCTGTTAAGGCTTAACTGAATCTTCAAATCTTACTCATACAATGTATTTAATGAAAAATAATACAAGAAAAGAGCTCTGGTTCCAATATTGACTTTTATTGAAATTACAATAATATAATCCAATAGCAGTCATTTACAAGACCTTATGAACAGCAAATATTCCAAGTTATACCCAGTGCAAAGACTGGCAATTCTAATGCACAATTAACAGATATGGAACATAAATTGGTTTTCCATCCAGAAAACCCTTTTTTTTCTATTCAGAAATTACCTATTATTAGAGTCTTCAGTGAGAAAATCATTTAAAACTCACAAGGATTTTCACACATTTTAAAGTGCTGAACTGAAATTACAATGAACCGCTTATGCAATTATTAAAGTTGACACTGAGGTGAAGTTTATCAAAATTTTCTTAGCACTGGGTTGAACAAGTTACACTATGGGTGAATCCTGAATGAAGTCTGGACTTCTGCTCTTTGATTATTGAAACATGTAAAGTCAAATCTACTCAGTAATTGAGTCAATCTATGGTGATCACTGTTTTCCAGAATAGTTGTATTCTGAAAGCATAAAAAGTTGAACTCTTAATCATCTTTAAGAATGATAAAACTTGTGATAAATACAGATGTCAAAAGTGTTTCTCTGTGTTGTATAAGAGATCTTAGTTCCATCGAAGTGTATAAGCTTGGCCCAGGAAAAGGTGAAGATCTGTAATATGCAATACCTTTGGAAACAAAACAGTGTAGATGATAAACTTAGTTTAATGTTCCTGTATATAAATAGAAAATCATTTACATGAAGTGCAATTGATTTCTCATATAAAAGATGTACAAGTCTATATAGTGCAGTAGAAAAGAATGGAATTTGAGAAAGGTAATATTTCTTCTCCACTCAGAACTAATCACTTTGTTTCTCACTATGATTAACTTTCCTTTGATTGACTATGCCACACATACATCCTGTTCTCATTAGGTCTGGCAGTTCTGAGCCATAATATAGAGATAAAAGGATGGCTTTGTTACTCCACATAGCTTCATCTTCATCAGTTCAGGCCAAAATCTGAAGACTACAATACATCACAACACTACTGAATTGTGTCCACCTAAGTAGTTATGGCTGGCACAGCTGGCTTTAGAACAGGGTTAACTGAGTTCATGGAAAATTCATCTATTGATATTTATTAATGATCAGGTTGTTTTGAGGGTCACAGATATCATATTACTTAATGCAAGTAACAGAAAACCAGAAAATGGAGAAGCCATTATATATTGCTTGGTGATTTTCACAGGCAGCCACATAGTCGCTGTGCAGTGGTGGGTTCCGGTTGGAACCGCCCCGGCGTTACCTACATGGACACACACAGCGCGCACATGCGTCGTACTTGCCTGCAATGCTTCCACAATCCTCCACGACGCTCCAGCTGCTCAGCCGTATGTGCCCTGTGCGGAAGCGCCAGAGGCTTAAAGCACAGGTAAGGAGCTCGGGCAGAGTGGGCCCTCCAGAGCACCATACCGGAACGGTATCTGGTGCTCCGGGCAGGCTCTGGTACACCGTACTGGGGCGTATCACTTTCAACCCACCACTGTTGCTGTGGCAAACTGGATTCTGAATATCAAAAAGTGTTGGTCTAATAGAACAGTGATTCTCCTATGCTTTTCTTAATGCTAAAATTATTGTTTCCTTACCTGTTTTGTAGAGCTATATATCACTTTGTGAGGAGATGGAATGACTGCATCATTCTGAAGTACAACCACACTTTGAGAGGAGTTGAATTGGGCCCCTAAGACTTTTACTTCACCAAACTTTAAGTTATTTGGGTCAAAATATCCTTGATGGGCAATCCTGATATCCAAGACATTCTGAAAAGACATTTTCCCAATATATTTATTTGTAAAATTATTTCATAATTTGCCATCATCTATATTTGATTCTACCGTGTAATCTATTATTGGGACAATAGGATGAGAATGGAAACAGCAGCAATAGGAATATTGGCAAAACATTGTGACACTCATGGTTTAACAGTGCTGGCTTCAGATAATCTGTAAATAAAAGCTCAATGTCTTGAGTCATTGACCAAAATTTACAGATTATTACTGATCATTGTAAACCTAAATGTAGCTTTGTCTACTTATTATTGTACTTGGCTTAACATGCCCCACTTTCACAATGGGCAACCATGTTATTCTGCATCTCTTCTTGTTGCCCTTGAAAAAGCATCTTTGGGACAACCATGACACGGATGTCTGTGAATTTTCCTATGTAAAATTCACATGTAGATAAAGTAGGGGAAATGTCCTAATTCATACCAATTAGTTGGTATAGGATAGAGTTTTTTCCCTTCTTCTTTCATTTTGCTGCTATTATCAAACAATACTGAAATGTTTTGATATGGAATACAAAATATTTAATAATCAAAATACTTATAATATATACAAATAAAATATGTAATTTTCCTTAATGTAGCTATTATATAGTTAGTGGCTTGTTTCTTATTATGGGTAGGGTTTTTTATTCTTTCATGGTTTCTATTACCATATTTTTTGGAGTATAAGATGCACCGGAGTATAAGATACACCAAGGGTTTGAAGAGCCAAATTTTAAAAAAATTAGGTAGGTAGATAGAGAGAGGGAGGGAGGGAGAGAGAGAGAGAGAGAGAAAGAGAGAGAGAAATACAGTAGGTAGGTAGGGAGAGGAGAGTAGTTAGGTAGATAAAGGGATAGAAAGAGACAGAGAGAGAGAGAGTAGGTTGGTAGGTAGGTAGAGGGATTTAGAGAGAGAAATAGAGAGAGACAGAAATACAGTAGATAGGTAGGGGGAGAGAGAGAGTAAGTTGGTAGGTAGATGTTTCCAGGTGTATTTATCCATGTGCCGGAGAAGGAAATCACTGACAATCGGCAGCACCTAAGACTTTGTTTCTACTGGCATAGCACATTATCAATCTAATTCTCATCAGTCAGTTAAAGAGCTTTCTGAAAGGAAGAAAAAAAGTTTTGCACTCTGCAAACCTCCCCAAAACAGTGAAAATGGGCCTTTTTTTTTTTTAAAAAAAAA